GAATTAGAGGAGAAAATAAAACTGAATGAAGATATTTAGGGAAACAGAATCAGGTGGAGGAACGAGGGTATAGGGAGGTGGATGGGATGCTTCCGGGAACGAGAAGACGGGGGGATTATATCCCAGTCCAGCTAGCCAGGGGGGAAAGACGGGCACACGTAGTTGCGGTTCCATTGTGTGATCTTGAGACGAAAAAGATATATAAAAGCAATCTGGAATCCCCTTCAGAGCAAAGTGAAGGTATATGGGACTAAATGACAGGGACGTTCAATGTATGAGGTGCATAGCGGGAAAGCTGGGTTGAGAAGTGAAATAAACACTTAAGCAGACAAACAAACGACTTAAGAAGTTGAACGCAGATTCAGAGATCCCTGTGCCTCCAATTATGCTATTGATGGGGATATAGCACATTTAATAGGGGAAATCTGGAATAAGTTGGCATGTATTGAACCCGTTAGTTACTAGGATGATAGAGTCCTGGAGGCAGTACGACTTCGATGGGAGTCGAAAAGGAGGGGAAGGGAATGGAATGGAAGAATACCGGATAACAGGATCAAAAATAAGTGCGTAGTCAGGGGGCATATCCATTGATTTTATTATTGCAAAACGGAGAAAATAATGAGTGGGGATTTCATGTTAAGAAAAAGGAAACACCCTGTTGAGGCGGAAGAGGATGCTATCGTCCACCAGTTGAGAAAATAAGAGCATTATTGTATGCATCCAGTTCCAGTCAATCCAGTCCTCAGGCCGAAAAAATGGATTTTCGTCGCTGCTCTGTCAACACTGTGAAATAATTCAATGGGAGACGACCGGATCATCGTATGCCAAATACGGGGTGTAGATGATGGGAACAAAGAATAGTTATTATGTTCATCATCAACATTAATCGAGTATCAATGGCTGTATGTCGGAAGGACTTGGTCACAATTCTGAATTTCTCTTGTATGCAGTCGAAACGGAAGATAACTGTTTTATATAAAATCCAGGGATAATTGTGTTAAGAAATCATGATTAGAGTGTGAAAATACTGTGTGAAATCTATTGAAGCGGAAAACATATGAAACCTTCACTTCTGTCTTGAGAGACACGAGGCAATTGGCAGCCGTATGTGGATGTGGAAAATGTCTTCATGTAGCAATATCGCCAGGTGCGCATCCATATTGAAGAACTCCTGAAGTACTAAATGGAGAATGTGTTGCATAGAGAATAAACCGAGGAGATTATCGATGATGGCCGCATTGTCTGAGACCCGCTTGGCTTGTCAGCGGCCTGAATGAACCCTTAGGTTGTGGCTGCTAAGAACCCCGACTTTGAGAAACCACCGATATATATATATATTTGATTTGCCGCTAAACAGACATTCAAGTAATCGAGCAATCCGTAGGTTCTCGACGTTACTCCATACCTCCAATGTACAGTTTAATTCTTGAAGATGGGAGAATAAAATTTATTGCAAATAATATAGGACACTGGCTGGTTTGGGCTGGATGATCTCTGGTGGACGTTGCAAGATGATGGATCCGGGTATGAGCATAAATGCTTATCGGCCAGGGTAAATAGCTGATAAGGAAATCTGGCAGGACAGAGAAGGTTTTGAACCTTGTCTGCTACTATTGTCCTCTTGTTTGGTGGTGGCGGAAACTGTTCAAACTACGGCTCTCATATCGTTCTTCGCTTTCCTGTTATTATCACATCGGATGTTTTGGTTGCAAGCGAATATTCTGAGAGATGGGAACGAGCACTATTGGGAGGTTCTCCAAGGGTTAAATGAAGTATATTCGCCGACAACGGCAGTGGCTTGTGTCACTGGAAATGCTCACGAACAGGATATGAAGCTGTTTGAAATATGAGAGCTCTGATACGGCAGAGAGCAACTAGACAGACAGCTTCCAACGTCAACCTCTATCCTCTCTTGGCTAAACCTATCACGAGAACAAGT